TTTCAATCCAATTTCATGTTACATGAATTCCATCTGATCATAGTCTATTGAACACATATTACGTTTACCGATAAATATTGCTTTGGCAAATCAAGTGTAACATACATACAAAGGATAATCGGGACAAATATATTTAATGGAGCGTAATTAAAAATTATGCCGTAATATAGCAATTAAGTAACGCAACGTAGGATAAATAAATAATAAAGATTGCGATTGGGTTTTATTATTTTATGTATGTACATACGACGATATATGAAAATAGATGTCTTATCTTCGTAAATCATTCGGTTAAATATGCTCTTAATTAATAGAAATTTTTTATGAGTTTGCTGGCGTGAACTCGGTATGTTTTTATCGCGTTTATATTCCGAATTATATTACTCTCCGGTAATTATTCTTCTCTTTACAGTCCGAAGGAGGTTCTCGTGTGTATGTTCAATTAAAATGGCTCATGGAAGTCGAATTAATATGAATTCCGTCATTAATGAGAGAAGAAAATCCAATCGAGCAATGTCTAGACGCTAAGTCGGAAGCACAAGGAAGAGAGTGCATTTAGGTGGAAAATGCGAATCGGGTTGGATGCAATATCTACCTATGTCGTTCTCGACTTTTTCTCTTACGCTTCGATCCTCTCCTGTTTTCACCTCTACAGCAGAGGGATTAAATCTTTTCGTTAAAGAGGAACTGGAAATACTCCCCAGTAAGGCAAATAATTATTAATTTGATTGAATTGATATCTTTTGATATTAATTATAATGATTAATTATAACGGCTGTGGCTTGGTGATAATTTCGATAGCGAATAATTAGCAAGCGTGTGCTTTTTTTGTATTCTACGCGCCATGCATTTATACGCCTGAATCGTCGATTGAAAATCGTGCCGCAATATCGCAGCTCGCGTGAATCCGATCATCGAGGCTAAATTTGATAACGGAATTACCTACTATTCACGGAAACGATGCACCGATGTGTGTTATTGTCCTCTTTGTGATACTACCTGAACAGAGAATGGAACTATTAAATTTTCAAGGAAATCGATACTTTTGCATAGAACTAATTCAGGATATCATTCGCGCGTTGAATAGTTAGATAGATATGGAAAGCATGATAATTACGATAACACATAATTTATGTAACTCATAATCAGCTTTGTGCTTCGTCAACAAAACATCATATTGAAACAGATGCACTTCCATCAAGATTAACGCATTAGGCATGCAATACACGTAATATAGGCACGAAGAAAAAGTAATGCTACTTACATACGTTAGATCACTCGATCAAGATTAGGTTGCCGGACATCTCGCGAGTACCAGACTCAGGAACAATACACTTCCGGCGCAACTGACAAAGATGCACGACAGGTATACCAGAGGATTGGTAGTAACGGGAGGAAGTGGAGAGGAGAACGTACGTTTGATTTCGTGGTACGGTGCAATACATCTCTCCTCGGTTTACCGGTCGCTCGCTGAGACGGAAGTGTATCGTGCCCGACGAAGCGGGCACATCCGGCTCGCAAGATTAATTGCCAATAAACTTCTATTACAGAGACCTCTTCCCGCACCGTTACTCTTCTCACGATATCGTCGTTTCCTAATCAACCACTTCGTACGCAACAATGTCGCGATTTCGCCCCTTTGATCATAATATCTACACATATATATATATATATATATATATATATATATATATATATATGTACATATTTAAAAAAATACGAGATATTATTGATAACGTAGAAAATAATTTATGGAAGAAACAATGTCAGAAAAATAGAAAACTCAAACAAATTATTTATACTCGTTATAATAATACTCATAATGATATAATCGCGATAATATGAGCTGTCTTCAAAAAAATGCATCGTGTTATTTATTAAAGATTGATAATTTATTATGTCACTCTAAGTTTTTGACCTATATTTTATAAATGTTCTGTCTTGGATATTGTAACGGGATCTCTTCGATATTAGATCATAATCTGTATAATAAATTGAAAAATACTTAAGGTTAACAATACTTGTAGATGAAGGTATTAAATTTTATCTTTAGACGTTAAGGCATTAATTAACATACTTACATTTCGGTTTCATATTTCAATTTGATATAGTGTGAAAAGCATTACCAACAAATTGTTACAAGTGTATGTATATGTTTTTAATTACATGATGCATGACTTCGCGCTTGGAAATTGCATTTATGCAAATTAGGTGACTATCTGAAAAATTTGACATAGAAAAATGATGCCAGTTCGCGTGCTTAGAAGCTGCGTGATTATGCATACAATAAATCTCGCTTCGAAATCACCAAGTGAATGCTTAGGAACACGTGCGAATCGATCGTAGCCTATCTTGCACCTCGGCCTGGTAATCGAGGGAAATTGCTTTCATCTGAATTCAAAAGCATGTACGAGAGATCAAAGTTCTTACGTGCCGACGATGGCGAAACGAACGGACGATGGTGCGAAGAACCATCACGCGAGCGTCGATTAAAGTTTTCACCTTTGCATCTGGTTCCATGAATTTCTCAAACATGATTAATCGTTTCGTTCGTTTGAAATTGTCATTTTTTTTATTCGGACACATTCTAAACCAATGTTAACAAAGAATGACAAATACATCTAATATATTCTTAGTCCGTGAATCATCACTTTTATGTTACCTTTATATTACCTTTTTCTTTTTCTTCTTCCTATACATGTACAACTTTCTCCTTTCCAAAATATAAGTTTAGATCTATTATTATCAAATTGACATGATGCATGTAATTTGGAAGCTGACGATATCTTAACGTCGCTGAAATACGGGTGGAAAACTTTACCGTTTATGAGCATCGACAGGATCGATACCCGCATATCACGAAGGTGTAGAGGAAAAAGAGGACGGTTGAATGAAAGAGAGGGTAAATTGATGGAAGGGTACGATTAAAAGCTAATGACATCGCGTTTCTACGTGAATGACGGCTTCAAAAGAAAGCTTTTTCTGAAGTTGGTTGGCTTGACAAACGATCGTAAGGCCAGTAAGAAACGGTGTCTAGCGCAAACCGTCTTGATGAAATAGTCTTAATTGAACCAATTGATTAATTCTCCTGCATTAAATATAAAAAAAAATCCATTTAATGCATAATATATTTGTATATAAACAATAAATAATGCGAAAGATAATAAATTTTATGTAAATTTGTAAAGAGAAGAAATTTAATATAATTTAAAAATTTTGAGATATACGAATATATATTTTTTTTGCTAAAATATAACTATTCTTTTATGTTTTTTATTTGACAAACAAAAATAACAAGGTATTTCTGTTTTTTGACTTTATCTTTTATTAGTCGCGAATTTATTATTAATTGCGATCTCCGCGCACATTTATTTGGGCAAATTTATGATAGTCCATAAATATGAGAATATTCTAGATATTTCTAGATATTTCCAGATTTATAGCAATCTTTGTTATATCCACAATTTACAAAAAGAGATGTGTGGATATATGTCACTTCCTCCCACGCAAACACACATACACATTATCGTTTTTTTTTTTTTTCAGGGAAATCCTACTTGTTTCTGTAATATTTTCACGTCGTAATACGTGCACCGCGCTTGATATATGTTACAAATTATTATTTTGATATTCCAGATCATTTTTTATTCTTACATTACGAGCTTCCGATTCTCGTGTCTTGGGAGCTCGTGAAGCACTCTCATCAATCATTTCAACGAAATGAAAATATAGATAGCCAACGGCAAGAAAAATTATTCGGGAAGAGGACGGCCGTTCAGAGCCGAGATACATTATTGTTTTTGGTTTTTTTTCTGACCTCTACATTGCGTTTTTCACTTCCCAACTGTCCAAGAGATGGATATTAATTAGCATGTAGCAGTACAATATACGTGCTCAAGAGCATGAAATAACAAAGGGATAAATGTCGTTAAATCGTGAGACATTTAAAACAATTGCTGTACGGAATGTAAATTTTGCTTGCGCCAAGGGAGCCATTAGAGAACCACTCTGTATTTAAATTTTAGCACTTCTCAGTACGTTTTTTGATGTACTATTTAACTGTGTTTTATTAGAATACATTAAAAAGTCGTATTACAAAATACATGTGAGTCGTTATCAAGAATTACGACTAGAGAAAATTTATTTAACATGCAATGATACAAGAATTGCGATGTAATTTATGCACACATCGCAATATAAATCACCATCGTATTTCCATTGTAATTTATGTAATGTTTCTCTTATCTACACGTAGATAAATTTAAACTCTCTTGTATCAGCTAGATAATTTATTGAGTGGGTAAGCTTAGAACCTCTTATACCTCGGTGCTACTCGCTTACTTTTCGACTATTCGGTGAATAGAGCCGATGCTGGGTGACATCGCCACATCTGGCGCCGAGGACAATTAGAGGGACTCATGAGCCGTCGGAATTAACACTCACAATGACACGGGCGAATATTTACCGGCGCGTTACGTGGCACGTTGTGTGGGTGGGCTTGTTCGCGAGACAATAGACTTGCCGAGTAAGCCGTCCCAGGGAGCGCGACGATACACCGAGAATATCCCCGTCGACGATCGTACAGACGCTTGCCGTGGAGATACCGGGGAGAGCGTTATATCGGTGATTATATCGGTAGATGCTGATAGTGAGAAAATGGAACCTCGATGTCAGCAACTGGAGGGTACCACTTCAGCCCCATTGGCCGAGCACTTCAGCTCGTGCCAAGAGGACAATACCGATCGTGAGAAGTTGCCTTCGTTGCAACGAACGAGCGGCCAATTTTTCTCGGAAAAAAGCATCAGGGCAAAAATCTGTTTGCCAATTGAGTGTAACGATTTTTAAGGCAATTGAATCAGCTCAGAATTAAAAGAATATTATTAACATACAATCTGCGTTTTATTGTGAATTTAAATATAACTTCAGTCATAGCTACATTTTATATATATATATATATGTAGCTGTATATATTTAATCGTATTTGTTGTTTTTTTTTTCAGATTGTTGACTTTTTGCTACTTGGCATCGTTGAATTGTTGGTTGCTCCTGTGTCCGGCTATACTCTCGCATGATTGGCAAATGGGATCTGTTCCTCTGGTTACATCTTTTACGGATACCAGAAATCTGGCCACCTGTATATTTTTCGGCGGTTGTCTGGTTCTCACGTACAAAGCCTTTACGGATTTCGAGGTGAGTGTGCGAAAATTTGATAATTGACTAACATCGAATAATAGATTACATATTATTATAAAAACATTATCATTATGCATTAAATTTTTTTTTATTCAAACAACAGATAAATCGAATTCTCTTTCTCAGAACTTATATTTTGAGAAAAAATCTAAGATTCCTACATTTCCTATACTTTAATTTGATATATCGAGAAATGTAAAGAAAGAAAAAATTATTCTTTTCAAGTGGCCGATATCGTAGATTCGCTGACATTATTGATTATTTATGAACATAAAATAAAATGAATGGTTATCATCTACGTAATGTCATTCCACGATTAAACATTTTGACTGTAAGCCTGGTGTAACAAGAAAGGTAGTATTCCGTGCTTCCAGTTTCTGTCGGTCATGACCGACATAGTCGACGATGATGAAATTGCATTCAGCTCAAGGGTCATAAAGAGACTTGTATAGTAACCAAATGACACAAACTCTAATTGTAAGTCACATGCACGCCCAAAAAAGCGTGTATCTCTAAATTATATCTATTATTCAACGTATCCTTGGAATCATCCATCAATAATAATCATTGAATCTTTGGTTTCATGATGTCTTTAAAGTATATTGTTCGTCGGTTGCCATTTTTACAAAAAGGTATCTTTTAATGTCGCTTTTCTATTCCAGAGACTATCTAGCTCTTTATAAATTCGAAATGAAAACAGACTTTTTTTCACAAACGAGGTCATCCGTACTTTTATGTATAGAGCGATCTGTACGTTTCCGCGACTGTCCCTGAAGAGAAAGATCTTTTTATAGATGTGATTGCTCTTTATTCCACCATCAGCTCTTTATGTGTATATATATATATATATATATATATATATATATATATATATAATATGCTTTAACTCAGTTAGATTTTGTAACTGTTTAAAAAAAGATATAGACTTTTTTCTTATTTTGATATAAACTTTATTTTTAGAGTATTTGTTTAGAGGAAAATAAAATCTTTTTTATGTAGAAAATTTATTGTATAGTGAATAATATTTTTAAAAAATCTTATTTTTTTGGATAGATATTTAGATGTTTATTTACAATGCAATATAAATCATGATAATTATATTAAATAAATTGTTGTGTAATAAATCTTGATGATAATGATATTATGCCTGTTTTCATACCAGAGCTATAACTCTAATATCTATTGGTGATATTTAATCGTTGTATTAATGAATCGTTATATTATAGAATACGTATAGAATTTATAAAGTATATAATATTTATGATAAAATATTTTGTATTAAAATAACAGTCTATTTAGCAGTCGTATAAAAATTACGAAAATAGAATTATTAAATTAATTTTAATCGATCAATAATAAATGTATATCATGTGTATATTATATGATTGCTTATTCTAACTATTTGAAAGCGGACAATCGGTGCAAAAAATCTGCTTATTCGTTAGTATTGTACATATTTTTTCATATACTTCTCGTGGAATTAATCGATATGCAATAAGCGGTGGTACACTGTTTTTTAAGCTCGCTGTTTGAACAGGTCCTTTGGAATTCCTTTTCATCACTAAAATCTCACTGTCCTGTTTCTTGTCTAAGACCTATATAAAATACAATAATTAAAAATTTTACTAATAAACACAAATTAATATATTAATATAAATTCATTTTTTGTATTTGATATTTTTTAAATAATAATCATATATATGTAATATTTATTTTACACAATATAACTTTAATAATTGATTATGTAAAATAATTATTAAGTATTGATAAAGAAATGCATGATTTATTTACCTTGTACAAATTAGAAACCTGACTAATGAATTCTCTAGTCTCGATGTCTTTATCACATCCGTTTATTTTATCTGACAAATGCAAAGATGTTCGAGCAGAAGATAGATGTTTTTTTCTTCCTTTATTATCCTTTGATACTGAAGTGATCAATGATGTGGTCGACATTTTGTTATTAATTTGATCATATTTCGTGTCAAGATTTATATTCATATTGTTAGAGATTGATGCCGACGCAGATGACATTGCAGATGTGAGCGAATGTTGTGCTTCTTCAGCATTGATAAAAGAGTCTGAAGTATCCATAATGCCATACTTTTCTTTGTCTATTACTTGAGTTTTTGCATGCGCAATATTAGATGATAGCGTTGCCAGTTTATTATCTAAAATACTTTTTCCTTCACTCTTATTCTTTATCTGTTTTAAAGCAATCATGTCGGCTGAAGCATCTGAAAGAGCATTCTGAATTTTTGTCTCAGTATTCCAACTGTCTTCTAATTTGCTTCGATCTTTTAGGTGAATATCATGTTGCTTGGTTTCAATATTGTTAGTGGTTGCTTCTGCTGCTATTTCTGAATGAATAGCAACTTTCTCAGTTATTTTCGAATCATTAAACTTATCCTTATCTGTGTGTTCTTTCGCAAAAGTATCTGATGGCCAGTTATTCAAGTGTTCTTTATTGATCTTATTGTACATTTTAATTCCTCCTAATGTTGATAAGTTAAAAATAATTTCTCCATCTTTTTTAACTTTTCCGTTTTCAACAATAATTTCATTCGTAGTTGGTATTGTTACGTAAGAATTCCCTGACGATATCGATTTAATGTTATGTTGGCTATCTGGAACATTACTTGAAAAGGACCGCGTTTTATACAAATCTTCTTGTTGATTAGGATAATTGCTGCTTTTTGTTTTAATGATTGTGTTTACCGTTGCAGAGTTTTCATAGTCATCTTTTATGATTTTGGAATTCGCGCTCTCGCTTTGTGTTTTAGAAAACAAGTCCGACAATGTTTCCGAAAGATTTTTTATAATTACATCTTTCTGGAAAATGTTTTTATTTTCTGTTAACTTCGACGGGGGATTAATTAATAAATTGAATAAACTGTTTGGATCAACATTTTTTATATCATTAAAAGATATTGTTTTTAGAGCAGCATCTAAAGTTTTTTTTATATTGTTATTTTTTATTTCTGTTTCTGTATATGAATTAGATGACGATGTCATTTGAGACAATTTATTTTGTTCTGTGTCTTTAAATTTATTGGAAATTATTTTTTGTCCTGATTTGTTTTTGTTAAGAATACCCATATGTTTATTTTTTAGAATATCTGTATGATTTTTATTTTGCGCTTTAGACTTTGCATGAAAATTACTTGATGTTCCAGTTAATTTTTCTGAGTCATATTTGCTGGTACGATCTATATAACCGGAGATATTGGAATCCGATGATGCCATGGAATCTGAAGTAATTAAATGTTGTTTCTTATAAATTCTCGATTTATTTTTTTGCATGTTTTGTGTGTCTTCAAATGGATTAATTAACGATGTCGCTTTCAATAAATTATTTTGATGTTCGTATTTAGCATTGCTTATTGCTTCTCTTAATGCTGCAGCATCTTCACCATTATAAATTTGTCGTAAAAAGTTGTTATTGTTCTGTTTGGCTTTCGTTATCTTTTGATTTTTAGAATCTTCAATGTGTAATATTTCTTTTTGCTTATTTTGATTATTAATGGAAGTTACTAACGATGTCGGTACTTGTGTAACCATAAACATCCGTTTTTTATCGTTTTGTGCATTTCTTGAATGTATATTGTCTATTTGTGATGCAGTGTATAAGTTGAATGATGATGATATATGTGATGAGTCTTGTGTATTAGTGCTTTTGACATTATTCGAAGATATTGCAGATGTTACGATATTGTGAGCTTTTAAACTTTTTCCTATATTATTAATAGTGTTTTTATTTCCTGCATATTCTTTTATATCCTTGGAAGATGTCACTTGTGTTGATTTTCGAAGATTTGAATCATATCCACGTTCTGCATACGAATTGAATAACGATTCTTCTTTAGATATTTTTTTTACACCATTTTGATATTTGTCTTTAATAATGTTGGAGCTTGTTTCTTTTGTCGATACGATTGCATCAAGATTATTTTTCAATATTTTCCTCCTATTTTCATGTCTCGTATGCATATCGTGGAGCTTTGAATCAGATAATAAATTCTTATTTAGCTTGTCTTGTCGTACATTTTCAAAATTATCAGAAATCGCGGAATTTGTTAATGTTTCTATACTTGCATTAATGCGTTCTTCTTTCCGAGCGCTTGAATCATTTTTACTTTCTATTTGCGATTTCGCATATGAATTGGATTTCGCTGAATCTCTTATTAGTTTCTCTTGAGATTTACTCTCAACTTTTTCGAGAGACTTTGCCTGTGTTGACATTTCGAGAGACTTTGCCTGTGCTGACGTTGCGGCTCTTCCAGTAACTTTTAAACCTTCTTTTACAATATCGCTATATTTGTGTTGCACTTTTTTGCGTGAGTTAGATGTCGTTGTATCCTTTAATAATTCTTGATGCATATTTTCCATTTTGTTAGAGTTTATTCCTTCTGAAAATTCGATATCTGAAATAACTATTTTATGATGTTTTAATTTATTTTGCTGTGATTTCTTGTCTTTTGCGTCATTTTTAAAATGTTCAATGAAACGTTGAGAGTTTGATACTTTTGCTCTTGCTCCTTCAGTATTTGCCATATCTGCTTTGTGATTGCTATGCAAACGATATTGTTTATCTATTTTTACGATATTTGTGGAATCAAATACAGATTTTTCTTGCGTTGAATCGTAGGCGTCTTTCTTATTATTGACTGTTGATTTTGGGAATACTGTTTTTACAATAATTTCTTTTCTATTTTGTGATTTTTCATCTGAAGATGATGATATTGTTTGGAATGTAGTATTCCATTTATTAATATTATTACGAGTCTCTGAATTAACGGCTTCCTTTTTCCTTAAAATATCTGATTTATGATCAATCATCGATTGAATTTCTGTATCAATTGAAAAAATTAATCCATGTTGATGCTTATCTTGGATATTAGTATTGGCTTTTCTGTTAACATTCGACAGAATATCTGATTTATGCTGATCTCTTTGCGACAACTCTGCATATAAGTCATCTGATATCACTTTTAATACATTGTTTCCATTCTCGTTATTAAAACTGTTTAAAGTTGTTAAATCCACTGATAATTTATCTATGTTATTATCTCCTTTCGGGTATTTCACTCGCTTGGAATTAATCTTACTTTTTATATCAGAATTATTAGCACTAATTTCATTTTTATCTTTTATCTTATTGCTTGTCTGTATTTTTTCATTCGAAATAACTGACTTATCTTTTAGTAAATCATTATGATATACATTATTAGCGCTATTAGATATTGTTTCCATTGTTATTTGGTTTGCAATATTTTTAAATTTTTCTTTTGACATATTGAAATTATTTTGTCTTTTTTGTGCTTCTTTGGAGATTTCTGATAATGTTGCCTCTTTTACTAAATCATTTTGTGATTGTTTGCTGTTAGTGGAAGAAAAGGATTTTGATAAAGCAATATCTATTGAATTTTTATTATTTTCCACGATGTCCATATGATTCTTCTTTTCTTCTTTCGATCTAATATGTGAATCAGTTAAAGATGACATTATTAGCCATTTATTTTTATATTTATTTTTAGTATTATTTGAGATCTTTGATACTGCTAAATCATTGGTTATAATTTTTTCTTTTTTTAATTGATTTAAATCATATTCTTTATGTAATCCCGATTTCGTTTTTGAATTACTTGATGATGCCTTTATTACATTCTCAGTGCCAGTGGAAGTTACTGTCTTTACCGATGTTACTGCATTTGATGCATTTTTTAATTTTGGTATAATAATTTCGTCTTTTTCAATACTATTATTATTAACGAATTTCTTGATATTGTTCCTATTTGTTGGATCAGAAAGCCACTTTGCTTTTAATATGTTATCTTTCTGTTTATATTTATCATTGATAAGTGCCGATATTGTTAATGTTGTAGTATTAGCAGTTTTTGGTTCATTTTTTTGTATATTATTTAAATTATTTTTACTTGCAGTTTGTGATGATGATGACGTATGCAATACATTATGCTCATTCATATCAAAAATATTGTTAGAAATTATGCTCGCCTTTCCATTTTTATTTAATATTTGTGATTTTCCGAACGAAGAAGACGATGATAAAGAATTTATTGACTCTTGTTTTTTATACTGATGAGGATTTTTATCTTGATACGAATTTCTAATAATACTCGAAACAGTTTCTCCTATTTTTGTTGTTGTGTCGATATTGTCTTTATGGCTTATTTTTATATTATCCGAATAATGTTTATTTTTTATATGCTTTTCTTTTAACCATTTAGAAGATAATATTGATAAATCAAGCCAATGTCCATTGCCACTATTATTGAAAATTGTAGATTGTATTGACACTTCTGTAGGGGAAACATTTATTCTGTTCTTCTGTAAATTATTATGTTTATATTCCGTTTGTGATTTCTCCGAGGATGGAACAGATGACGAAGACAATGCTTTTTTTAGATGAAATTGATTTTTATCTTTTATAATATTGTGCAACGTTGGGTTTGCTGATGCTTTTGAAATAGAATTTATTTGATTATCTTCATTATTTATTAAATGACTTTTTAAATGGGACATTTTGGAAGATGATAAATTTTGAAGCAACCATTTATTTTTTACATTATTGGATGTTGCAGTCGATAATGTTTTTACATTAGCATGTCTCTGATCGTTGTTATAATAGTTCGATGTTTGCTCCATTTTTAATTTAGATTTGATAGAGGAATTATTAGCCGTTCCTGACATTATTCCAGATTTAGCAGTACTTATAGCAATACTATTTTTCAAATCATTTGAATATTTTTCAGATTCTATTTCAGATTTCAATTTAGGAAATGTTGATGTGTTTTCTAATGTGGGTTTTTGTTTATTGTTTACACCAACAAAGATTGTTGCATCCGCTGATGCTTTTGCATTTATATTATATTTCTTATTATTTTGATAATTCCAAGATCCAATTTGTGATTTCGCAGAAGCTGTAGAAGAAGCTATTGCATTTTGTATATTAGATCGAGATTTATCCATCGCATCGTTCGACGAAGCTTTAATCAGTGTTTTCACATTCGCATTGATTTCACTTTTTAATTTTTTATTTGAATAGCGAATTGTATTCGTTTGTAATTTAGACTTTGAAGAATCGGATATCTTATCATTATAATCTTGGTAACCATTTTCCGTGCCATTGGAAGATATTTTTTCATTTGATACCTTCTGTATAGCTACAATTTTTTTAGTATTATCTGATTCGGATATTTTTAACGATGTGGATTGAAGATTACTTTTAGATTCAGTAGATTGCGCCGCTTTTACAGTCTGCTTTGTATTAATATCAATATTTTCGCTTCCTCCGTAAGTGTCATAAACACGTTCCGTTTCTCTCTGAACATTTGCGTGAGGATTCTTTAACGACATTAATTCCCATGAGATCTGAGCAAAATTCTTATTGTTATTTATTGTTTTTGTTGGTTTTTTATTGCTAAGTTCTGTATGTAATGTAGTATCGATCGTCGAACCATCAGAAATTAGATTTTTTACACGTGCAACAATTTTGTTTCTATTTTTTATATCAGTCTGACTTTCTATTTTTTCTTCGTTAGTTGATGTTATTTTATTAATTTCTATAGAATGCATAACTGGGCCAGACAGATTCGTATGCTTTTTCAGGTAACGATGTTTATCCTCTCCTGAAACATATTTTTTTTCTTTTCCATTTAATAATATTTTTTCATGTTTAACGTTATTTTGCTTTTTACCTTCTTTGATAATAGAAGATTCAAGTGATGCATTTGATTCATTATTTCCTTGCTTTTGTTCTTGAATAAAATATGTATATCTATTCCAATCAAATTCAGTTGCATCTGATGCAGTTGATGATTTCATGTTATTAGTTTGTTGATTTAAACTATGATTATTGTCTTGATTACGATGCTTATATTGATTATAGGTTCTATGGAGATTATATTTATTGTTATCCTTATGACAATTTTGTTTATTATGACTATGATAATTGTGTTGATTATGTTTGTCACTCTTTTCATATTGATTATGTCGATCGTAGGATAAATGTTTGTTAGAAGTGATCATTTGCGATTCTTTTGATATTTTAACATTATCAGTAAATTTCTTTTCTTGTTCTAAATTATCGTAATCAATTCTCTTTAAATCTTCGGCAGATTCAATTTTTCCATCGTCATCTATTTCTTGACTATCGAAATCATAATTAATATCATAAAGTGTATGTGCTTTTTCGTGTTTATGAACCGGAAATTTTGGTATCAATAGTTTAGCATTACAATCATCGATGTCAACAATTTCTATTGACGTTCCATAATCCATATCTTTTCCGTTTAAATCCATATATTTTTTTCTGGTTTTTATGTAATTTTGTTCATCCGAAACTTCTTCATTTGAAATTTGTTTATCTGATGATACGGCTTTATAATGATGCTTGTTAATTGAAGGTATTGTTTTTGAAGGTATTGATGTCGCAGTAGTGGTAATTTCTTGATTTACTTTTAAATTATGATTCTTATTTTGACTTCCCATCAATGTCTTTGGATCTAAGTGCTTTGTTTTCGAAGAGACAGTAGAGCTTTCATATCCATTGATGCTGTGATGCACTTTCTGATTTCCCAGATGTGTTTTTGAATGAGATAACGATGAATGAACTAATGATGAGCCGATCGGGTGACTTTTAGTTCCACTAAAATCCATTTTAATTTCCGTTGATGTCACATCATTATCAATCGTAGAGTGCGTCCTTCCTAAGAGACTATACTCGTTCTCAGTTTTCGATCCATCATTAATCGATGGCAATGCGAGCACGTTATTTATACGTTTGTTTCCTTTCCAATCATCAGATAAACTCGATGAAAATGATGTTGCATTGTTGGCAGTACTACTCTGATCTCTTGAATAATAATGTTTGATGTTTACAGGTTTCTGTGTAGACATGCCCGTGAAAATTTTCGTTATTAATATGTTTCCTGATTGTTTGTTTTCAATTCCCTCCTTCGTTTCAGCTGAGAATGGCGCTTCAGTTGTAGAATGGACCATAGAACGCTGAATTTCATTCAGATTCTGTTTATTTCTATTTCTGATATCTTTTTCGTTATACGAATCAATCGATGAATCATATTGAAATAAAGATTCCGCAAATTTATCATAATTAGTTTCGTCTTCTTCATTAATATTTATCTTTTCTAAAAATTTATTTGCTTCCCAAGGTTTAATATAAATTTTTTCAACCTCTTCTCCAGGTTCAAATAATGTTTTAAATATAAACTTTTTTCTATATCCTTCTTCCTCGTCTGATGTTTCGAATTCATACGATTCTGCAGAGTGAGAGGCATGAGATGCTTGTGCTCTAGGATAATTCGTACGTGTCCATTTTGCATGCTTCCGTTTTGGAATATTGTTTCCTGCTTCCTGATCTTTTGTTATACGGAAGTCCATATGCGGTGCGTATACGTGTGAAGATGTATGTTGTAACCCAGTATCCTCTTCATCTTCGTAGGATGACAGTTCGTGCGTGTGACGTGATACTGTAAGTTTATGGAGCATTTCATTTGTGTCGTGACCGTGCTTCTCGTCCGAGGTACTCCGCAGTTTAGACGATGGATGCTTCTGATGTTCTGATTTATGCAATAATTTTGTAGAACGATCGATATCTGCAATGTCAACTGTAGAATCAGATTGCGTATGTTTTATCTCGCGGTGATCGTGATTCGTTGATCTGGATTTCGATCGCGATATCGAAAATTCATACTGATTATCCGCATTTTCAATCTCCAAGTGGTTATTTTCGTGGTTTTTGTCTATTATTTTTGTATTATGTAATGATCTGAAAGGATATTTAAAAATATTCGTATCGAACGGCGACTCAGACAGCAGCCACGTGCTAAAATCGTCGTTATCGTAAAGATTTTTGTATTTCGCTGCTTTAGCTGCCTTTGCTTTCGCTCGAGCCAATATTTTACTAATTGCAGCCGGACCATTTAAAGCCTCAGCGACAGTTGCTTTTTCGGATTTTAACACTTTATTTCCGTCGTTTAATTTGAGTAGATGTTCGGATATACCTCCGGTATTAGAATTAGCCCATAAAAGTTCTGAAGTAGGTGCTCTTAAATCTCTCTTGACACGATCATTATTTTTCTCTATTTTTTCATCGATGGATGCAGATTCTTTTATTTCAGAAATATCATTGATATTGTCGAATAATGAATTATCGGATAATTTATTCTTTGGTATTAAAGTTTTAGAAAAGTTCGATTCTTGATCAATTAACTTATCGAGCAAAAATTTATTATCCGCTTGATGTATTTTGTCAGTGTTGTCCAAATCCTGTATATTTATAAATTGAATAATTTTAATCATATAGAAATACGAAATTTTTAATTAAAAGTTGATTTCTCATTAAATATCATGTGTTATAATTATTATCATATGCAATATTTAAATACATAGTGATACAATATTAATGCGATTTTTGCTACGCAATAATGTATTATTTTAAGCAAAAACAGGAAACTGCAACGGAAATTTTACGTTAAAATCTATATGAGATAAATGCTTTAAAATTCGAAGTACATTAATATACATATCTGTAAAAGTTGTATATAAAGCTGTTTTAAGATGTTTTAAATAATATTATGATTGTTTCTCTTACAACACATATTGGAAACACACAGAAAAAAATTAAATTTTGAAATTATTTCTTAAATGACTTTTGGCTAGAATATTATTTAATTTATTTAGAATATTATTTATTATTTATTGCGTTTCTATTAATAATTAGAGAGTCAAACATACCTTATGATTTAAAAAATTTAAGTCTCCTCCCCAATCTTTTCCACTGGACGCTTCATCCGAATATTCCTTTCCTGCAAGAGTCAGATCACTTCCATCGTTTATATAATTTGATTCACCCACACCTTTGTCATTTGATTTTTCATGATGCAGATTAGACGATACAAAGCTCCAGCACAAGAGAAACGATAAGATCACTGAAATTTTCATCATTTCTTTCTTCACTTCTCGATAAAAACTGCTACTTGTTATCGTTTGTCTTTGGACTTTATACTCTTCCTAGCAATTGTAAAAACATTCTGTTTCCTCGCAAATGTGGGTATACACGTTTAAATGTTGTTTGAAAGCATTACACAGGATTTCGTTTTAACCCCCCCCCTCCCCGCCATTTCATTTTAATTTATTTACATCTACATTTTTTTGCGAAAGTATATTTTTCGGTATTTTAGAATTTATCTTTTAGAATCTTTTATGAATAAAAATGTATCAAATCGGAATGTTGCGTTCTGAATCGTTATCCGTTTATACATTTAAAACTTGCGAGCGCACAATTTAAACATAATTTCATGAGTATGGCGAGTTTCATGTGTAAAAGCAGTATAAACTCGTAGTGTAACATAAACTTTAATCGAGTACATTCACTCAGCATGATGCAACTTACGCAGAGTAGTTTGCTCTCGAAGAGATCTCGATTCAGAAGAGCTAAATTGAACAAGGATTTTAACCTTGCATTTGTCAGCGAATGTTTTCAATGATACGTCATATCTCTTTTTTTTTATTTTTAGCAACAGAGGCATCCGCCTCTTGTTCTTGGTTGGATGTTCCTGGTATTGCCGTTCCTACCTGCGTCCAATCTTTTCGTCACCGTGGGTTTCGTCGTCGCGGAACGAGTTTTATATACGCCGAGGTAATTTCACTAAAAAACAAAGCCTTATAAATTATAACACACTTAATCACAATGATTATTATAACGAATGATATGAATTTTTTACGTAATTTTACAGCGTTGGATGGATTATTTTGATCGTCTACGGTATGCAAGTGAGCTGGACTGCTGTGCCGCGACGAAGAAGCTGGATCACTACAGGCGTAGTTTTCCTGCTTGTTCTAGGTTGTTTCAGAACGGTTCTTCGGAATAACGATTGGACGTCTAGAGAAACTTTAATCAAGTACGTGATCAAAGATTATTTTACATGTTACACGTTTTATTAACTTCAATTAATTTGTTTGAGAAATCCTCTGATCGATCAATAGTAACGTTACAAAGCATGCATGTAACTTTAAATAAACTTTTCGCAGTAATGGGAAATATAAAGAATCGTTGCATGCAATTTGAGTCTCGCGATTACGACAAAAACGATTTTGTCACGCGAAGATATTGTGGACATATATGGCGAGGGCTTAGTTCCGGCTTAAACAAGAAGGCTGGCATAGTGCCAGTGTTGTATACATTCACGAACTTGATGCAGACACTAGGCGCCGATTGGCTATGTATGGGACTGCAAAACATAACTAACGTAGATACGGGTTGACGACGGTGACACGGTCGTATCGGGGTCGAGAGAGAGAGGATGGTCCCGTCTGACCTCAAATCATCTTGTTTCAGAGCGGGGTTGCGGTCTCTGCCCTACAATGCCAAGATGCATTACAACTTTGCTAATTTCCTCAAAGACACATCACAACCGAATCTTGCGGTCCACCATTACCAGTTGGCCCTCTGGTAAGTATGTTTCTCCTTCTTGCATATGGTGTACAAAATCTCAAAGTGCACGTTCAAACAAAAGTGACGTTTGTCAATTTGCGTGAGGACGGCATTTTTAATTACTTCAATTCTGGCAATTCAAAGATGTACTGCGTATATTCTGTATATAAAACTGTCTCTTGTTATCTCCAAGTCATGGAATAACGTATATATTGTTCTCATTCACATATCAATCTGTACTTGTTTTGAAGTGCGCGCAATCTTTTAATTATATATTATAATTTAGTAAAAAAATTATTTCTTAAGCACTTACAATGTTTACAAATTATATCTCGAATTTTATATTCTTATATTTTAATAAAAAGTGAAATCTTTTAATTTTAAATTTTTTATTTGTTAATAACAAAAACTTAGTTCATTATTTCCTATATATTGTAATTAAATTTCTAAAATGAATGCTTCTTATTCTACTTGGTTTGTGAATAAACTTGGTTTTTTGAATGTTTTAAATATATGCATCAGAAAATTGATTAAATCTTTAATTACCATTAATTTATCATTTTCTGACAAATATTTTTATTGCGACAATCATTTATAAAATAATCGAATTACGCAGATACGGAAAAGTTTACATTAAAATGTATGATCGGCGCGATATAAATATACAGCAGATAGCATTATAATTTCGATTTAATTTTGTTATAGTTAAAGCAATTAATATAATTTGTCATTTCATAAACTGTCATAAATTTTATTTATAATACCATATCCAAATATAACATTTATATCAATTTTATTTTTACATGAGATATAAATAATATCGACATAACTAGACTCTGTAAAGCTGTCAGAGTCAAAAAGATTAACAGTATTAATTAATAGTATTAATATGTTTGATCATACAGCATTTATGGCAATGCATTAAACCAAAGGATCCAATTAAATAATTCAAGCATATGAGTGCGTTATAAATCCGATAAATTATATTTTATATTGCAAGTTATATACATGTCGATATGCAAATTCTCAAAATAGAGTGGAAATTAAACATGTTTTTAAGAGGGCATCTAATTATCATATTATGTGCAAAAATATTAAGATTTAAGATATATTTTAATGAATATGTAAAATATATATTTTAAAAATGTAGTATATTATAAAATCTTATTCTTTACGTAATTTTTTGAAATAAATGTAATTTAATTTAAATATATATATGTGTATATATATATATATATATATATATATATATTAAAATAAAATATAGTAAGAGGCCATAAAGAGCTAACGCAGTTGTAAGGCATGTTTTAAAAAAAAATTATCCATGAAAACGATCACATTAGACGATCTTTCTTCTTTATTCACATCAAACGTTTCGGACTCAGTTCGAGCCTTCTTCAGTGAATATATATATATGTACATTAAACTCTCATAATTAAAAATAAATCCACAAAAGTAGGCCGCAATATTATGACAAAATTCTGTGTATAATTTAACGCAAGAAAAATATTCTGATTACAAATGCAATTTACTAAAATAAGCAAAATTATCTGGAACGTAGTCTTCGAGCATTAGCGCCGGATTTGTCTGGTGGTTGTTTGAACAGCGGGTCAGATAACCGTCAATTCGCGGTGTTGTTGCTTCGTATGTGGCCAATATATTGAGTCATACATTTCTCGAGGACAGCTTCTTATATTGATGAATCAATTGATTGATGAATCGCCGGACCATCTGCGTAAACTGTGTACTTGCACTTTCTATTTGTCACAATATCTAATAAAAATATAAAATTATTAAATATCTATTAGAAATATTTTTGTCTCTGTAAAATGTCACAATAATTAAATCATTAATTTTTCAAAGGATCGATGATTGCCATAACAAACAATCACGTGAAAAAAATTTGTTATCATGATCGAAATTCTGTAGAAAATCCATCATTTATTCTATTTTATACTTATCAATTTTGATAAAAAAATTACGGATGAACAGAGATCAAACACGAATTCATGAATATGAATATTGTTTTGTGAAAGAACGTGTCACACAGTATATATATATGCTTGTATTCAGTATGGCTTTATAACTTTTATGGAGGATATTACGCGATAAAAAGGGGAGAGAAAGTAATTAAGAAGATTTATTTATAAATTTCAGTATTATTGAGAAATTTTAATTAACTTTCGGCTTCGTATCTTTTGTAACTTTGTAATCATTCTTTCATCTTTAGGAGATAGACGACGGCAAATTAATGCATAAAGTCGGAGGGTGTACAATATAATTGCAAATCCATGATTTGCATTTTTTTAACTCGCTAAATGCTTGTTTTGTGCTTCAGGTTTCCATAGAATAATACACACATTTCCATAGAAAAATATTATTAAAAAAAATATCTTAGAATAAATGCACATTCATGCTGCATTATTTTTATATCTCATTTTTCTCATTTTTCGAAATGATTCTTACGTCATCATAGTCTTTTATTACTTGTTTAAGCTTTATTTCTCCGTGCATAGCATGATAGAAGACATGGAATATTATAAAAGAATAATAAATGCAATGCATAATCTTATTACTACACGCACTTTTCAACCATTATAGGCTAACCTTTTTTCCATTTCATATATAGCGCGAGAAGGGCCGTAGCAAACCGACAAAAGTGCATTAATTAGCCGCGGCTCGACTGCGCTCGAGATGAAGTGGTAACCAGTCGTTTGCTTTTTCGTTCTCTCTCTTTCTCTATCTTTTTCTTTCTATTCTCTATCGTTCTGTACTCTTGTAATTTCTGTCTGCGCGTTTTCCTCCCTACGTATATCTCGCGAATTTCGTTATCCCACCTAGCATGAAAATCGCGCAACGAGGATGATCGCGTCGTAAAAAATAATCGTCTGTCGAAAAAATAAATGAGTTTCCCGTTTTAAAGTTCTGCAACGCGTATGCGTCACGCGATTCATCATCGGGCAATCATCTGCAGCGACCTGATAAATCGAACTCTTGTTCTTTGTACATTTTGCCATGTGCAACGTGTTGTAATGCATTTTGTAGCATCACGCTCGCAGATTGTTTTATCGTAATATTGAATTATTTGTCTACGCGAATGCAATCAGTCCAGTAAACATATCGAGAAAATGGTGACGCGGTATGGAAAAAAACTGAGATAAATGAGGAGGGAAGAGAGAACGGAGAAAATTGGTCGGCAGCTGTAGTCGCTGCGATGCAAGAGCGGACAACTGCAGTTGGATGAAAATTGCATTTCGGCTGTGCACCCGCGCTCGTCCAGTTCGTTCACTTATAGATCTCATTTCCTACGCTGAGCTCTCTAACCATTCTGTCGCACCTCTCTCTTTCCTTCCTCTCTCTTTCTCTTTCTTTCTATCATCTTTTTTCCGCTATTTCCCGTCACCGCATCGCATTCTGCGGATCGGCCAGTTTTGGTTCTGAAAAATCGAATCTTCAGTTAACTGGCAATTTTCCTCGCTTGTTTTATACGCCAAATCATCGCATCATACGCTATTCTGAACGGGATGCTGGATAGATTGGTGAAAGTTCAACCTATCTTTTGTTCATCTCGTATTCGCAACATTCTGTAGCCATAATTTGCGATTTCGCAACATCCTGTTCGAAATGGATAGCTCGATCTTTTTTCCCTACATCTTACATTTCTACTATCTTGCTGAATCAACTTTCGTTTATCGCCTACAACATTCCGCTCTCGTTTTGATCCTCGCGCGACGAATTAGTTTTCGATCTGTCGTACGAAATTTCCCCGAGGAGAGTCGCGGCGAAGTTTCTCCTCCCTCCGGAATATCGCGCCGAGTAAGTAATTTAAAGTAGTCCGAGATTGACCTGGTCCGTGCACGAGTAATAATTGAGCGTCACCGGAAGAACATAGAGTTCTCTCGGGGTATTCGCTCCGAGACAGTTCGCCTCTCACACTCCCTCGTTTTTCCCTTCTTTTCCCTCTGTAGCGCTTATTGCATTCGTGGAAAGAATGGCGCAAGGTGTCCTGAGAATTGTGAGCGAAGGGTAAAGAGGAAGGCAAGTACGGAATAAAAAAGGCGAGGCGAGCATATTCGATGGAACGTCATAGAATCGAGGTAAGACGCGACTTTTCTGTTTGCTTTTCATTCGCCGGGAAAAGCGGACTGTATCGTAGAAACGTTATTTCTTCGCTCTCTCTTACTCGTAACGCTCTCTCTTTTCGATACGTTATGTTGCATTACTTCCCTATCGGTCCATCCGTTCGCTCTCTCGGTCGACAACCATGAAATGTCAGAGTTTCGTGATATTTTTACTTTTTTTATGTCAACGACTATCTTCTTATCGCGTTTAAATTTCTCGTATATACATCGCTTACCGTATTTCTTAGAGTATATAAAAAACAAAGTTACTCTTTAATTTCTTAATTTTTCTTAGAAAGTCTATCTCATTATAATAATACAAATAATAAATATGTCACTTTATATATAATAGATAAATGAAAGCAAATAAATTATATAAACGAGTTGTTTCCTCCATTAATCTCCCTCCCATTGACGCTTGCAAAATTTTATCATACTATGTAAAAACAAAATAGATTTACTCGAACAAAATATTATGGAAATTTGTCGCAATGTTTGTGTGAAACAGTACACGAGTTTTAAAAATTTCCGGTTGTAGTTGATATCGTTATTTTACGCCGGGATATGCGCCATTTGCAGATGATGCATTGTTGCTGGACCATAGATACCGGCAGTGGACGAGATATATAAACCATCAGAATTTTACATGGACATTATACAGCCTTATATTTACGATAATGCATTATTTGATTGCAGTTTTACGACGCCGCGCTTTTACTATTATTCAGCCTCGGGCATAAAACCATGCTTGGTGTGTGCAGGTTCTGTATCTCGCAGTAAATCAAGTGCGAAGAAAATCCCTTGAATACGCTGATCCGCAATAAAAATTCTCGGGACAATCGCTAGTAGAAGGAAACGTTCAGAAACGAATTGCGCGGTTCTACAGCGTCTATTTGC